TTTTTTTTTTTTTTTTTTTCTTTTAGACACCACTGAAGAAAACAGGTGATGGACGAAAAGTAACCTTTTTTGAGCCAGGTTCTGAAGAGACTTCATCTAGTAAGTGGCATTTCTGAAAGAAGTGTTAGGGTGTGTATTTAAGATAAGCTTCTCAGTCTCATCGGCTCTATCAAGAGGAAAGGTTGGCACTTGCCATCCTGCAGACAAGATCCACACCCTGGGAGAGTTTGGGTCACATCCCAAAGTGTGTATTCCCTCCCAGTCAGGCAGTATTTGGCTTGCTTGGACACCTGCTCGGTGGGGAAAGGAGATGGATAAGCAAAAAGGAAATTTGYGCTAGTGTGTTGTCTGAGCAGTTGGTAGAGGTTCAGCTGCTGCTACCTGCAGCTTCCCGGCTTACTGCCTGAAAGGCAATATCCGAGGGATGTTTAGGCAGCCTTTAATCAGGATCTAGGGCTTTCTAGTGCAAGAGGGAATTCTTGGGACCTGGCTTGACTCTGGTCAAGGGAATGGGCTGCTTAGATCATCAGCAGAAATGAAATAAACTTCCTGGCTTCTTACTCAAACATTGCCATCCCTGCTTTGTATCCCCCTTTTTCCCATCTACAGATTTTGGCTTTCTTCCTTAGGCTTGTAACAGCTCAATTGCCGTAACAATGACTCCTGTTTTTATTCCAGTGGCAATGTCTTCCTCATCTTTCTTAAGCACACCTCTTGAATTTTTCACATTTCTGTGTTACATGAGTTCCCTGTAAAAAAATTATTGCTGTCCTTAAATCTAATTTATGCCACAGTGTCAATAACTTGCAATCAGTTGCTAGAGGTTAAATATTTGCTGTAGTGACTCCTACTTTTTTCATACTGTGCTGGTTTTACTTTCAGTCTTACCAACCTGCTCTAAGTTTTGACCATGTAGAGCATAATGTTTGTGGACTGTCTTGTCACTGTCTTTACAACATTCAACAGTGGCGCTGACAATTTTGTGGTGTCATTATTTGCTTCTACAGTTTAAGTGATGAAATAACAGATTCTGAAACCAAAAGATACGTCTAGAATGTGATTGCACCTGTCTGAGGTGTCGGTAAGCTTGACTAACCTGCAGAAATTGCTCCTGGAGGTAAATGTGCTCCTTTGGCAGAAGCAGGTGTTACCCCAAATCAGTTATTCAGTAAGCAAACTCGGTCTTGATGGAGGTGACCCAGTAAAGGTGAATTGAGTTCATTAAGTTTGTTAGTGTTTCAAAAGTAATTTGAAAAAGAAAAAATCAAAAGTGCTTGCACTTCAGGTGATTCCGTGCACCTGCACAGACCTCACAGAAATACCTAGCATCTGTTTAATCTGTGCCTCTCTCTAGGTAGTAAAGACGACGAGTTTAGGATGCCTTATCTCAGCCATCAGCAGCTTCCCGCTGGAATTCTTCCCATGGTCCCCGAGGTTGCACAAGCTGTAGGAGCCAATCAAGGACACCACACCAAAGAGTTCAGTAGGGCAGCCCCAAATCCTGCCAAGGCTACAGTAACAGCAATGATTGCTAGAGAGCTACTGTATGGTGGTACTTCTCCTACTGCTGAGACCATATTGAAAAATAGCAACTCGTCAGGCCACGTACCCCACGGACCACTTACTAGGCCCTCTGAGCAGCTGGACTTTCTTTCCAATGTTCAAGGAATCCAGGTAAATGTTCAATCCAGTCYCAGGCCTGTTGTTTGTTTTAAAGCTTCTTTGCTTCTGCTATTGACTTGAGTTATTCTGAGACTGTTAAGCYGAAGTTCACGTAAACATTTCGCTTCACCCAGGAGGCATAGTAAAATTCCCAGTTCTTTATTTAATACTCAAATATGCAGATCTGTACTCCATCCTCAGCATTAATTCAGTGCTACTTGGGAGTCTATTTGAAGAATGCAATTGAAAATAACATTTTCTGAGAATTTTCAAGAAGTGGGAATGTAATGTGAACTCAAACTTGGCTGATCTGAATTCAGTTCTTTGAAAAAATCTTTGATAAATTAATATTTGCTGTAAATTGTGCATTTTTTGTTTAATCCCTCTAGTGAGAATTGAATTTTAGTTACTTGATAAATATATTAAAGGAGCTGCATGGACAATAATTGTATAATAGGAAAAAATTAAAATGCAGGTAGCTATAATCAGAATACAGCTTGCAGCAGCAGTCATTTTTATATAGTGACTTTTATTCAGAGGACTTGGAAAGCTGTCAGGATTACTCAAACTATTGCAAGTGTAATCAGGCTTCAAAATATACCTACTGGTTAACAGAGAGATCAAGTGTAAATGGGATTTTGGCTTCATATATGGGCAGAAAATCTCTAGCAAATGATATGTTTCCTTCATGGGGTTTTTTTTTTTTTTTTCAGGTTGAATACAAAGACTTTCCAAAAAATAACAAGAATGAGTTTGTATCTCTTATAAACTGTTCCTCTCAGCCACCACTGATCAGCCATGGAATTGGAAAGGACGTAGAATCTTGCCACGACATGGTATGATGAGTGTTACCCCAACACTTTCTCTGTAGATTTCTGTGCGATAAGGGGCACTAAGGGGAGCTAAGGCACAGGGACTTCTGTGAACCAATAGCCCAAGATGCCATATTAAATGGCAGTTTTGTTTTATTTTATAAATAAAATGTTGTACAACTTTTTGGCTAAACTTTGTCTAATAGATCAAAATTTGCTGAAATAACAAAGGAATAATACTGCAATCTAATACTCTGTAGATGTAATCTTTAAGATGCTTAATATACACTTACAATTCTGGTCTGCACAAAATGCGTTTGCTTTACCTTGCTATTTGTTACACGAGCAATTAGTAATGAGTCTATATAAAGAGCTTTTAAAATATAAAAAACTTGTCACTGTTTTATTTTTCTCTAATGGGCTGATATCTCACTAGGAACTGTAATACTCTTGTTCATGTTACCAGACTTTCTGCTGGAACAGAATCCAGAATGAAAGAAATGCAGTTCACCATTAGATAGACACTGTAAATCTGTTAAACTTCATTTATAAAGAAGATCTTTTATTAACAGTAGCTGAAATATTTCTTTGTGAAAGAATGAATCTTCTAGACTGTAAACTGTAAGGGACTTGGTCTTCAGGTCAGTCTATAAAATACCTTGCATATTGTTGGCAATATGTGCACTACTGCAATTTGAAAAGTATTTAGTTCTTTTGGTATCCAGTGGTGAGCTATGTAGACTGCAAACTAACTAAAATAATAGATTGTAATATGTAAATACAGTTTTTTATATATATATATATAAAAGAAGCTTAATTTTTGTACTAATTGATAAGTATAATCTTATAATGGTTATATTTTGATAGAGATTTCTTTGATACAATTGCCACTTAATTCAGGTATTTTTACACCCATCTCTACATGCTGTTGGTAAAGAGCTCCTGCAATACTAAGCACACAAGTCAGTGTAATAGGWAAAGGGAAAATGACTGCTGCTTTGCAGGTTAAATGTGACTGCACCAATGTGAGGACCTTCCTCTCTTCAGATGCTCTGCTTTTGAATTAGCCACATGTGCCTTTTCTGTATTTAATTTCAGATTCTTGCATAACTTCTTTCCTTTCTCCACAAAAGGACTTTTTGTTTCTGTTCATGTTAATGTTCTTTACCTAATCTCTCTACAGTTTCAGCCATTACTAATTCAGCATCTTTTCCCAAGTTACTAATAATACTGCAGAATTTTTTTTTCCCACTGATAAAACCAGTAGGAACCCTGTAGCCACACCACCATTGTAGAATGTAACGTAACAAGATGAAATTTTACAGCCCATTTTTTCACCAGAATTTCTCATCTTAATAAATATACTCCCGAAGTTAGAATATTTGCTCTGTTGTAAGTGAATTTTAGTCATGCCTCTTCCAAATAAAATATATGGATACAAGTTAGATTCCTGAATTCTGTCTCTTTTCTTTAGGCTGCATTGAACATTTTAAAGTTGCTGTCTGAGTTGGACCAACAAACCACAGAGATGCCAAGAACAGGAAATGGACCAATGTCTGTGTGAGTGAAAAGCAGTTGATTGTGACACATTGAGTTTCCCTTGCATTAATGGAAAGCTGTGACCTTATGATGTGTTAAACAAAATGTGAGGGCTTTTCTTTGCCAGAGAACTTAAAATACCAAGGGCTCTTATCTTCTTGGGAAGGCCGAGAGGGTAGGTTTTATAATCAAGCTTATAATTTTAATGTGTCAACTGTAAGCGACTAGGCTCAGTGCAGGGACAAGTGGCTAAAATGTACTGGCTATGATAATACAGCAATTCTGATTGGGGATGTCTCTGCTTAAACTAGTTCTACAGTTTTGTAAATAGTGTGCTCTTCAGGGTGCTTAAGTGTTAGAGCTGCACCTCTTTTTCTAGAAATCTTTTGTGTGTAAATTGTAAAGAATGTAAGTTTCACAGCTTCCTTTCAGCACAACAGACCTGCACGGTTTGCAAATTATTTCCTTTGAGAAAAAAACAAATTTGACTGTTGTTACCTAACCTACTGAARTAGTGAAGCTAGCAAAGTACTAATTAAAAAAGTTATATACAAACAAATTGTAGTATGTGCATCAAATCGTGTGTGGTTTAGAAGTGTTTTGGTGATGGTGGAAATTGTTTTATATTATTCTAAGTAAGAAGTGTTTTCTCATTTGCAGATGTGTGAAACAAGAAATGGAAAGTGACCCTCTTCTCAAACCGGCTAACTCAAACACTTTGGGACAAACACTGGACAGCACTGCCTAAAAAGGCTTTTGACTGGACCCATACGTGAAAGCACCAGAGAAAATCAAATGCTTCCTATTAATGTAACCTAACTGTTTTAGAGTGCTACAGTCTTTACAACCTACTGTAGTGTCTAAATCATAACCGTTGCTTTTTCTTCAAACAGTGATAAATTTTTAGTTTCATTATGTTGTTTTGATTGAAATGACACTATAAAATTTTCATTTAAAAGTTTCTTAATTGTATCTAGAACAATAGCACAGTTTAGAAACTTTGTCTTCTGAGACTGACATGTTATCTGTGAACTAACTTGGGAAGATCATATCCATGTATGTGGTTATTTTGTTTTTATTGAAATAGCAATGTTTCACTGGAAACAAATTGTGTGCCCATCATTTTTAAAAGTTCAATATTTCCACAAATCTAGCTTATTTTTCCAACGGTTGAATGAATTACAACACTTTAGGAATTTTAAACTTTGATCATTTCTGGTTAATTTCTAGTTTTTTGGTTTTGTTTTGCTTTTGTTTAATTTTTTTTTTTTTTTTTGAGCGGGGGTAGGGGAACTTGAATGCGACATGAGTTCAAATGATCTCTGATCTATGTTTTAAGGATTGTGTGTACAGCTGGCACACAGCTCACTACATTACAGGATATGATCTCAATGTAGTGCATATAAAACTGCAGATTGATTTTCCTTGAGTGCTTTATACTGTTTAATTACATCTCCATGTAGGGCTGAAAAAAAATACCTATGTTTATATATAAACTGTGTTGCTTTTGATGTTGTGTTATTGCGCACTGACCTGTGCGCAATAAAGTTTTTTGCATATGGTCCAGGTAAAGCACGATAGCCTTGCAAGTTAAGTACTGCTTCAGTTCATTGTTTACGCTGGAATTTTTTCTCCCCATGGAATGTAAGTAAAACGTAGTGTTTGTCACCAATAAATGGTAATACTAAATTTTTTGGGTTAATTTATTCTTGTATGCCGCTACAGGGGCTGCTTTTTTTATAGGATTTGAAATGCTTGTGATATAGTACGGGCAGTATTGTAAAGTTATGGAGTAACTGTAATGTGGAGGATGTGACAAACTGGCAAGGTCAAGGAAATTCAAAAGTAATGTGGGTGCACTTTGTTATTTGTGCCACAATGTGTTAGTGCAACTGTATTAATGGGAGCTTAAGCTAAAGTTACAATTCCAAAAAGAAACCTGGTGCAACAGGTTGGAGCAATTTCAGAGCTTAAGTCTCTACTTTTAAGTTTCCTTGTTTGCTTGTAATTTGAGTCATAACCTTGCCTTGTACTTAGTCATTTTTTGAGGGTAGTACTTTAAAAAGGAAACAAAACTTTCCTTCTAGCAACAGAAAATGGCATCATAGACTGACATATGACAGTGTATCATTTGGATGTGAACTACCTTAAATGTGTATTTAACTGGTTGCCTGTAGGAGCACTTCCTAATCAACCGCGTGCAGCGTGGGCAGTAATTGCAGCAGAAAGCAGTTACGGTACCTGCAGTCTCGCAAACCGGAATGTCTCGGCCATTTTATTAGCATTAGCAAAAGTAAGTGGAGGACACTAACTACATACCAAATTTTACTGAATCAAGTTGATTTTGATCATTATAAGCGCAAAAAACATTGTAATTTTTTCTTTTTTTTTACATTTGTAGAACTAAAATGCTGTACATTTAAAAATTAAAAGAAACTTGCTAGGCTGAGGCTTTGTATTGCAAATTCTTACAACTTAGAAATTACTTAGCAAACAATTTATATCAGAAAACATATACTTTGTAGTGGTATAGATGGTCCCCTTAAGTTTGACGGGGCTGCCTTTAAGCCTTGGAAGTGTGGAAGAAGGATCTGATCCCAGGGGGTTCTAGTAACTTGTAGCTGAGGAGGCAGATCACTTGGGTGACGTTAGATGTGATGTGACAGAAAAGCCTTGTTACTGAATTCCAGTCCATGCTACAAACACAATAATGTACAAAACTTCTTACATGGAAACTAACTTTATTAAACAAGCAGACAGTATTTGGTGCTCAGGTGACATCTGAGGTAAACAATAAGCAGGCAGTCCATACAGTTAATAAAGAGGTGGTTAAATGTGAAGTRCAATGATGATTTGTGCTCTTTGGGAGCTTTTTCAGTTGTCTGTTCATTCTACCTCTGAAAGCCAATGCAGAGCATAAAAGCTCAAAAGTTGCCAAGAATTTTGGAACCCAGAATTTGGAAACAGTCTGTGTTCATTTTCTAGTATTTCAGCTTGTCRATAGGGTCAGCAGTGACCAAGCAGCTTAGCTGTTATTTTTTTCTTCACCAGAGAATACATCCTGTTTGCTTACACCCTTCCCAGTGTCTAGACTTTGACAGGCTTGAGGCATCAGGTCTTAGTTGTCTGGTAGCAGCGAGAAAGGTCTCAGTACAGCCTTCTAAAATGTCAAAGCCTTAAGATAATGTTTCCATTCTTGTAGCTTTCATTTGCACTGCTTCTCTGTGACKTTTCTTACAAGTATGTAGCTGCATTTATGGCTTTTGTCAAAAGAATTACATTGTGCTACTCTTCCTTTGAAGACCTGCAAAGACCTGCTCCGGTGCTCTACATAAGCAGCTGAAATGTGGCTTAATGTGGCTACAAGACTCAAAGAAAAAGGGGAACAACGGTAATTGGTCAGGGATTTTTTTTTTTTTTTTTTTTTTTAAGTAGAATATTTTGCTAGAAAATCCTGACTCTCCAAAGAGAGCAATAAGAATCTCATGGCTTCTCATGATTTCTTCCTGCAAATGAGAATGGTGGATCCTGGAGGACTTGTATAAAATTTATTTTTGAGAATACTGATGTGTAGGATGGCTAAAACGTGCCTACAAAATGAGACCCAGTCTGGATCGCTGTGGTAGCTAGTGTTCCATAATATTAAAATCCACTCCCATACCTTCAAGTGATTTTTGAAATGGAATTTTGTTTTGCAGTCAGCCCTAGCTGGAACTACAGTGCTATTGCTGAAGCTTTAATGCTGGCTTGCCTTGTGTCAAATAGACGGTGTTTTGTTAAGACTAGACAGCTGGTATTTCATTAGGATTATGCTCTCTGAAAGAACTCAGTTGAGGTTTTAAGTAATATTTAAGTAATATAAAATTTAAGTAATATCAGAGCTAAAATGTAGCTGTACTGTACTCCAGCAAGGAGCAGTGTACGTATCGTCTGGTTTTGTGAAACAACTGCTCATGTCTCAGTGCTTTTATTTTGAAAGTCTGCAGATAAAAACAACACACCCAGTGAGTCAACAGAATATCTTCCTTAACGTCCTTAAAGGCTTCTGGTCTTACTCAGGTTGCATCTCYGTTTACCTCTAGATGAAGAAATGCTATTCCAGAGGTTGCTTCTAGTCTGAAAATATTCACCATTATCTCCCCTTGTCTGCTCATTCCGAATTTCCACTTATTAAACCCAGAAACTGAGGAGCAAGTGGTTGAAGCAAACTGAAATACCTAGATTATTGATTTGATCTCAGAATTGGAACTAAAGACATACTGATGGTGAATCATACTTATCCAAGAATACATTATATACTCTTAACTAAAGGAATAATTTTTATATACCACTAGCATTATCCTAACACAATAAACTGTATGTGATCAGCAATGAAAAAACCTATAAGCTTTTAAATTACAAGCACTCTCTCCCTTCCAATTTCCTAGTATTTTTTTTTGCATCCTGCTAATAGATGTTTTAKATCTTGAATGTCCTGTGTTAATGATGCAGAAAATATCCTTCACAGAGACTGCTTTCAGTACGTTCATCCCACGCTAGCCTTCTTCCATTATCTTTGCTGTTTCCAAGCAGACGATATATTCCCTTTTATGTTTAAAAGCTTCTTTTAGCTGAAGGAAGATTAGTGTCCTGTAAGGAGATGATTCCAGCCCTCCGTTAAGGACAAAACCTCTGATATGCTCTGTGTCAAAGTCTAAATGCAAAAGTCACTTGGGGACAACTGGTCATCTGTACAGATGCTCATCTCCGTCTCCCCCATTTCAATATGGGAGAAATCTCCCAAACTGCTGTACTTAACATTTTAAAACTGCAGTAAAGTACAGCATTGTCAGCATAGGTGCTGTGAGCTGACTGTTAAGTACTGCTTTCATTGCTGCTTTCACTGCTGCTGTCACACAGCAGCTTGATTTTAATGGGGAGAAGAGCAGGGAGAAACTGGGAAAGGCATCACTGAAAACAACCTCCGTCAGGAGACTGCAGTAAATGAGCTTCAGTATAAGTGAAACTGCCCTTGTATTTGCATAAAAAGTCTGTCAATGTTTCTCTTTAAAGCTTGTTAATGCGTAAGCTCCTGTGCATCTACTTAAAACGTGCAGCCATCACATTATTTCATTACTGAAGTGGATAAAAGCCTGAAGGAAATGTGCTGCTTCCAGCGCCTCCGCTGCTGTGTCAGCAGAGCCCAGCAAGCGGCCAGAGGGCTGCCCGGCGAGGGGGGCACCAGGCGCCTCCCCGAGCGACGTTTCCAAGGTCCTCGTAAATTCTGCCATTGYTTCCAGGTTTTCTTGGATTTACTTTTCTTTCTTTCTCTTCTACATATGAATCTTATAAAATACGTGATTTTTGTTGGCACTTGCCACTCAGAAAACGTTTTAGCTTTTAGCTACGTAGTGCTACTCAGCCCTAGCCTCTTACTAGTGGTTTTATTTCATAAAGATGCTTACTCTTTTCCCCTTCTTTCCCTGAAATCCTACCCCAGCAACAAAAAAAAATCTCTTAAAAGCAGCTTCAAGACTGACTCTTGTTGGACAGATTCCTGCATCCATTAGACGTAGGAAATATCTTTCCTGCCTTAGAAAAATATGCTAGCAGAATATTTCAGGATGTGTTCTTCCGAACTGGAAACAGAGCTACGCTTGCAGTCAGGGCTGTGTGGGGCTCTTTGAACAGTTGCTGGTATTTTCTGTGTCTCCTTTTTAAATGGTTTCTCCAAGCRTGGAAACACTGTAAAATATTTTGATCTGTTTTAAGGCCAGGCAGGAACAAATGCATTAAATCAGTGATGGAGACAGTTCTGCAAGGTGGAATATTCTGACTCATGAAGAGACTCCGTGCAGGGGTACCCTGCAGTACTGCAGCCTCGGAGATTCGTGGTCCTAAGAAAATGAACTCTTGGATTCTGTGAGTGCTGTGGGAGCTGCTGACCTCTAAATGTGCTGCTGCAAATTGGCCTCACATTCCCACTACAGCTGCCACGTGCTCGTGATCCATTTCTRCATTTTGGAAGGAAAGCCTTACTGGTTAGTAGGAGCAAAAGAGAGAACTTCATTTACATGTGTATAAGCCTATTATATTGGTAAATGTGAATCCATTTCCCTAAGGTCTGTTCTGCTGCAGCTCAACTGGGTCGCTCTCTTCATTTATTTCCAATCTTAGCCACAAGCTAGATTACACTGATGGCAGTTTTGTTTCTTGTTGCCATTTAATCCATTCTGTGGAGTTTGTGTTTGGAATTTTCTTATTCTAGAAGATTAGTGTAATGATTTGGCAGATGCTTATAAATATATTTTTAACTTGCTGTCAGTGTGCCAGCTGGTGTATTTTTATTACCATAGTGTTCCACGGTGAAATTGATGACCTGACAGTTCAGGCGAGATGGCTTTTTGTGGTTTTTTTTTTTGTTTGTTTGTTTTTTAAGTCTGTTAGAAAATTGTGTTTTATGCAGGAAAACTATAATATCTACTGTGAATGTCCTAAATATCAGAGCATTTGGTGCTGGAGTTTAGTTTTGATCGGCATATTGGGAAGTCAGAGGCCTCAGGTCAAAAGCCAYTGGAGGCTGGCACATGAATCACCTCATGATCCCACAGAGATCAGCAAGGTCTTTTGGGGGGGCCTGTCAGAAAGACTTTTTAGATCTTGTTTCCCCTTCTTTYGGCACTTGAGAACAAGAATGGTTCTATGTTCAAGAAATGTGTAGATGAGGCACTTAGGAACACATTTTAACAGGCGTGGCGGTGACTGGTTCACCGCTTGGTCTTTTCCAACCATTATGATTCTGTTAATACTCAAAGTTGGCACAGAGAAGCAGCTGAAAACATGTCCATGTGATTGTTTATGATATAAAAATATCCTCCAGCTGCTGCAATACTGTCATCACAGGACATATTACTATATCAGCTTTGACTACTCTGAGCAATGTTAGACAGCATGATGTGTCCTGCATGGCTCTTCCAGGTGGACCTGAAAGCAGACACAAGTCTTGCAAGGATGAGACCCAGCCTSAGTTACAAGTTCATCTCACCAGCATTTTTCAATGTTTCTGCCAGAAGTAGTCATGGAAATCAACAAAATTCCATTCTAAGCTGTGCTACAGTTATTTAACATCTGAGCCTTTTCCATTTCTCTTTTCCTGCCAAGCTAGGGAACACAGATCATATTTACAGTTCCTTTAGAATGGTGCATGTGATATGAGTTTACAGTATAACAAGATTAGCTTTCCTGGTAATCCTCTTAAAATGTCCTTCCTTTGATTGTCYTTTCATCTTTTGGTGTTCTTCAACTTGGGTTAATGGGATTGTGATTTAYTGCACAAGTCCTTTTTGATAAGCTGCTCTCAAGAAATAGTTGCCTACAGACACATTTCAGTAGGAAAAAGCATTTCAGTGGTAGCTGACTTGCACAGCAGTATGCCAAACATCCTGTAACGTCTATGTATGTACATGCACAGCACTATGTATTTTAGATCCTACAAGATAAATAAGTGAATTAAACAAGACAGACTTATTCCACAGTGTCTCCTGTAGCTTCCCTGCACAGATTTTCAGGTGGGACTYGGTTATATGCTTGCAGGCTACTTTACAATTTTGCTATGTCTTCTCTTGTTTTCTTCACGTTTCATCACATTTCTAGCACCATCAGCCACTCCTGCCACTGATCCTACAGTGCCCATTGACCTTTAGACTGGTTTAGTCCAGTTCTCTTTTCACAGATCCCTTCTTAGTCACAAGTTTGATCCCAAAGTAACAGCTCTTTTTCTTTGGGTGTGATGTGACAAGTGGTACAACAGGAACGTGATGCAGTTTGCATGTCTGTGACCATCGAGGTCCCTCTTGATGCTGAGTAAAATGACCATCGAGGTCCCTCTTAATGCTGAGTAAAATACCCATGCTGTTGAGTTTGCAGATCGGGAGAGCAAGGACAATGACGAGTGTTTTCTCTGAGCTTTGCTTAGGACCTGTTTGACAATTTAAAACCAACGGGCCACAGACCATCTTCCATCTTCTCAGCCCGTTCCTATGTTCACTGGCAGGAAGCAGTGATGGTCCTTGGGTTTCAAATGATGTGTTCCTATTTTCTAATATTTTGTCTTAGAAATTTAGCCCTTAACACTTGTCCAGCTGAAACAACTATGTTTTATTTCAWTTAGCATCTGATTTCTGAGAATTGTTCTTCAGAAGGGAAGACTTAAATTCAATTGGTCCTACCATTTAAGCTAATTTTCTGTCAATTAAATGGTGCTTTCAAGTTTTGGCCTCCCACAATGTGCATTGGAGCTGGCAGAGAAGCTGCAGCAGGTATTAAATGAACTTTCATCTTGACCTGGTGACATGATAAGTGTGTTGGATACTAAAACCTGAGGTAAAATGTCAGTGGGTCATAGAGCTGATTTTGCCACTGTGTTTGGAAACGCCTCACACGCCTGTGGAAAAATCCCTAAATGTTGCAGACCCTTGGATTTTTCTTCTAAAAAAAMCCCTATATATGTATTTTCCCATGCTGGCAAAGCATTTCAGCAATTATCAAGGCTCCAAGCCCAAAGCAGCACACTGCTTTTCCGATTTAAACCTCTGAAACTTTCCTGCTTGTGAAACGTTGTGTTGTGCTGTCTCTCGGGTATCACAGGGTGAACTGTGCCCCCCAAATGGAGGCGCACAGGGGAGACTGGCCACCCTGTGGCCCCAGCGCACATGAGCACCCCACCGAGAGCGGCCTGGCGAGCGCATCAGCAGCCCCTCCAGGTCCCCTTGTCTGAATTCACTTTTTCCAAGTGTTTTTTCTTGAGATGTGGCCGGAATGGCGGCTTGCGGGGCCGCGGCAGCGCGGGAAGCCGCGTGCACGAGGCCAACATGGCGACGGCGCCCGCCTCGGAGCGGGGCGGAGCGGGGCGGAGCGGGGCGGAGCGGGGCGGTCCGGGGCGGTCCGAACCGCCCCTATAAAGCACCATGCACGGGCCCGGCCCAGTCTCTTGCTCCGCGGCGGCTGAGGTGAGTGGTGGTGTGCGGGAAGGCGCCGGGCGAGGTGGGTTTTTTCCCTGCCGCCTTGGCCTGGTTGGCGGTTCCCCGGGCGCAGCCTATCCACGAGTGGGTTTTCCGGGGGGKTTCGCCCCGTGCGGTGCCGGTTCGGCCTCCCCGGGCCCCGCTGCGCCCYGCCGCATGGCGGCGATCTCTGGTGTACGTGATGACCAGACTTTTTTCCCCATCAGAGCGACAGTGTTGATTCCTCACAGCTAGCCAGGTCCTGTCTGATGCACCAGCAGGGCAGGGCTGCCGTGCCGCGTGCCCCGCGGAATTGGTGCTGAGTGTTCSCTTTGCTTCAGCCCCAGGCTGGTGCGGAGGTGACGTGGGCTCGGGCCTGCCGGGACCCGCGGTGAGGGCAGCAGCAGCCTGGAATGGGGCCTGGTGTTGCCGTCATGCCTGAGCCTGAGCCGCCGCCAGAGGTGGCCGGTAAGTCTTTGTGCYCTGTTAAACCCTGGAAAAGAAATATTTTTGCAAGGAAGTGACTTACAAAATGTTTTGTTAATATGTCTCTATGGAGGCTTGACTGATACGTAGACTTCAGTATTAGCCTGAATATTGGGGCATCATGCACAGAGAGTTCCCAAAGCAGGAGCATCGCCCCATGGCAGGGTGTSCGAGGGGCAGGGGGGGACAGTGAGCAGGGCCAGGGTGACAGGGAGCGGGTGCTCGGGACARTGGGGTCACAGCTCCTTGTCCCTGCAGGTGCCACGTGTCCGGGGGGCTGAGGACGAGGCCATGCAGCATGGAGACCTGGGCAGCCTGYGGTGCAGGGGCCAGAGCCTGCCTGGCTGAGCAGCTCCCTTGGGGAGAGGCGCTGGTGCCTGGCTGAGCGGATCCCTTGGGAAGAGGCGCTGGTGAGTTAYGGAGTCCGCTCTGCCGCTCGCTGGCAGATGGGCAGTACTGCTTGCAGAGGAAGCCACGTGTCTTCATGGCCCAGCAATTTCCTCCACGTGGCGTCTGGTAGCTTAGGGAATCTACTGCTCAWCATGGTGCTGCCTTCACACAGTGAAGGTACAAACCTAGCATGGCTCTGAAAGCTGGGCCTATAAGAGCACCTCAGTTTGCATTGCTCGATGCTTCCTTTCTTGCTTGTGATCTCAGCAGTCTCTTCTTTTGCCCCAGGTGGCCTATCTTAAAGTGCTTATTTCTCTTGTGTTTTGCAGGATTTTTTGTTCTCATGTGCCTGCTTAGTTGGCCAGCTGTTTTGCATGAGTTCACTTGGTGCAGGTGTATTTGCTGTGCAGAGAATGAGCATTTCTCATGGGCACAATGGATGTGCAGCCGTATAAACTAGTGGTGACTTGCTGGTGTACATGATGACCAGACTTTTTTCCCCATCAGAGCGACAGTGTTGATTCCTCATCACTAGCCAGATCTTGTCTGATACACCAGCAGGGAAGGGCTGCTGTGCCCTGTGTCCTCCCTCCGGGCTTGGTGCTGAGTGTTCCCTGTGCTTCAGTCCTAGGCTTGAGCAGACAGACCAGTCTTGGGCCTGCAGGGCACCTGCTGTGAAGGTTGTAACTGCAGAAGGGAGGCAGCTCCACAACGCTTGAGCTGCTGCCAAAGAGGATTGGTAAGTCTTTAATCTGTTCTTCCGTTTACTCAAATTGTTTGTTTCTTAGGTTTTAAGGGTTTTTTTCTAAGATGTTTTGTCAGGTTATTCTCACTTGATCCTTCATTATGATGTGTAGATTCAAGCATTMGCCTAAATATTACAAAACTGTAGCAGGGGGCCCTTCAAAGCCTTCTGTTCTTCATATTCCTTGGTCTCTAAAGATGGCAGGTGAGGAGCCTGGAGCCAGTGGTAGTGTCTTGGAGACTTGCTTAAGTATATACGAAATGTTGAGCGTTGCCGTCTGCCTACGTTTTCCTTTACTATCTTTCCGAAAAGGGTAATGTTTTATCAGTAGTTAAATTATCAGTAGTTAAGGGCATGAAGATTTTTCAAAAATCACAAAGTTTCACAGAATAAAAAAAATCACAATCACAAACATAAAGAGCAACTGTTGTTTTGTGGTATATGGTGACCTTGTACCTCCTTCATCAGATTGACAGTGCTCACACAAACTGGGATTTAGCCAGACTGTCTGCTGCCATGAGGTGCTTATTCTCAGCTCCTTATGTGGTTGTGTGTTCTTGCACCTGTATGTTGAGGGAAATTGCACCTGTATGCTGAGGGAAGTTGCGTGTGTGCTGCCTGCTTTGAAGGCACGCAGCACTGGAGGGTGCTTGCTGCACGTAWCCCAGTAACAATGATTGTGTAATCCTGATGTGCATGAAGGATCTGGGAGTCAAAAGTGAAAGAATTCGTGCTTTCACGAAATGTCAAGTAATGGAAATGGTTGAGAGCTCAGACAYTTCAAGCACCATGAGCAGAACTTTGAGTCATTGGATGTTCAGTGACATTAGAGTTGCTGGATGACCAGCTACTGTCACTGGCTTCAGTAGCTGGAGCCTTGTGTAGCTGCACATCAAATAACTGATGAGCAGTTGCAGCTTCGAGGCTGAAGTCTCTGTAGTAGCTCATATTTGTAAAGRGCATCAGTGGGACCCTTTTGTGTGGCCCACTTGAGTTCAAAACACATATGAATGATCTGTGTACTCTTTATCAAGTGGTGTTCTAGAAAAGTCCCAAAATACAGTGCTAAGTAAGTTCACTTTGTAGAGTCTTGTCAGTGAAGGAGTGCCCAGGTGTCTGCAGAACAACTCTTCAGCATCTAACAGTTTGGGGGTTTTGGAAGCTTTGTAATTGGGTTGTTTAAGGCAGTGAACTGACAAATGTTGGCTTTTTTTTCTTTTTGACAGATTGAGATTYGTCAGAAGCTGTCCCAGGAGCTGCTGTGATCTCAGTGTATTAGCAGGAAGCTGCCTCCTGCTAATGAAGTCCCTTTGCATTGCAATTGTCATCTCTTCTCCAAGCTTCATGAACGTTGCCCTGTAGTTGGCAGGACATCAATTTATCRCTCCCTACTGACTTGCACATGAAGGGTGGTGGTGTGTGTTTTTCCTTCCTTGCTCAGTGGGAGGCATTTAATTGTACTGGATTCTGGAACTTGCTGCAAGGTTAATATAAGCAGGTGCTTTGGCCTGCAAGAACTGCATTCACCATCTGGCAGTTAATGTTACTTTGCTGCAGCATTCAGAGAATAGAAGCCTCTCCTCAGAAAGGAGTTGTGGTGTATGGGAGGCTGGCCTTGTGCTGAGCTTYGCTCACTTGTCAGATGGTAAAACAGGGAAGGGATCTCATGGATGCCATGGTGCTGCAGCCTGGGTTTCTCTACTCTTTCACACTTACTGTTTAATAAAATCTGAACAGTGGATGAACTCAGCTTGTAGGTGCAGTTCTCTTTCTATACTTCAAACAGTCAATTTCTAAACAGCTGAACTTTATATTTGGAGTCTGATGGCAGCAGCGCTTCTTTGTAGTGACCATGGAGCTGCTCTCTGTGCCTGGCTTAAGGTAGGAGGGACATGGTGGTATAGCATTATAGCTAGTCTTTATGTATGACCCATGATAAAAGAAAATAGCTATGACTTGTGGCTGCTAGTCTGTGCCAACTGACAGCACTAGGGCCTTCTTCTGTGCTGTGTCCAAACAGGTCTGCCTTCTGGACCAAAGGGAGAGATGGGTTTGGGCTTTGTCATGTCAAGGGCTGTGCCTTGGTTTCCCCTGAGCTCCTGGAGGGGAGCAGCTGGTGTGGGGCAGTCATTCACTGAGGGTCTCTGGTAAAGATGTGGGCTGGTGTGTTCCCAGGGAAGTCACTGGCTCTGCAAATCCCTCCTGCAGGAGCCTTAGGGAAAGGTGATGGTTGTCTAGGAACAACCACTGCTGCTGTTCTCATGGCATGTGCAAATTAGTCGACCATCRGGAATGACTATCCTGGTACAAATGCTTATTGACACCCTGCAGACTTCTGGATGCAGTGTTATTGTTTCCAGCAGCTCTCCAGAATATGCACATCTGGTGTCTGTGGGAACAGAAGATCTCAATACTGTGTGTCATGTGCATTACCACGGAGGGCATCAGTAGTGCCCGAGTGCTGCAAGGAGGGAGGTGAGTGCTGCAAGGAGGAAGGTGTCTCCATCTGCTGTCCCTGCTGCCCTGGCCGGCAGCAGAGCCCGTGTGGGGCAGGGACAAAAAGGCCTTGACAGGCATCTTGTGCAGGCCCAAGTCTGGTAGGATTGGGGCATCCCGCTAGCAATGCTAATGAAGTAAATAGCCCCCTCTGTTCAAGCTGGCACGAAGGATTCAGATACAGGTTAACCTGCAGTGTCTAAACCAGCAGGCTCAGATTAAACCCYGGGCCTAATGATGGACGTAGTCATTCCTTGTGTACCGCTCCTGAGAAGCAGCACAGCGGGTATGTCCATTAGGAGAGGGGTTAAACCAGTTCCCCTGCAGCCTCATAAAGTTCCTGAGGAGCAGGGCCACCTGGCAGCGCTTGAGCTGGGCTGGGGAGACCTGGCCATGTGGGCCGAGTACTGAGCGAGGGGCCTAGTGGCCACAATTACTCTTGCTCAAGTAGTCCAGGGGCAAATGTAYGGAATCTGTAATGGGCTGAGGAGATATTTAAGGAAGGTTTCCTGCTGCTTCTCCTACACATTTTCTGTACCATTGCCTTTGTTACACRCGTTCCCCTGCCTTCCTCCCAGCACCATTAAGAGAGCTGGTTGTGRCTAGATAATTGTGTGTAATTCATAAATGGTTAGAACATCTGGACTGCAGTGGACCTCACAGTACAACTAGATTGCAGCCAGGTAATGAACCAGGCCTCCTGGGCAAAAAGGGAAGTGCAAAACAAACTTTGATCATGAATGTATATTCACCCACTTGAAAAATCTCTCAGTGCAGCCCTTTGATAAAAGTCAGGGAGAATTAACACCRAGTCTAAAGCAAACTGTGCCTGAGCTTCTTTTTTGAGAGCTGTAACAGCATTTCCTACCCCAGTACTTGCCTTACTTTTGCAGGCCGAGGCCGGTGCCTGAGTTTGGTGGCTGGGTTGGAGGCAGGCATGATCCAGACAAAAACTAAATTTACAGCTTGTTCAGACTGTGTCTGCAGGGAGCTCCATAGCGGCCCTGAGGCAGGCACAGCAATCCCAGCGTGGCGAGAACGTCTCCGTGGTGCTCCGACATCGCTGGACAGGATGCTGGGGGCGAAGATGAAGCTGTTGCTGCCATCGGCTACAGGGGAAACGGCCAGTCCTATATGTGCTTGTTTAACTTTGCAAACTCTGAATTTGGAGTCAAACACTGGGCTGGTAGATTTAAACAAATGTTTGTTTTTCTCAAACAGCGCTCGCTTGTGGTGCCATGAGGCCTCGGGAGGAAAATAGCACTGATTATTTTGCTGGCTGATGTTGCTTTTAATAGATGTGTATTTCCATACACAGTGAAGACTTAACATTTTTATTCCTAACACCCAGTCATCTTTTTGACCACGTGTTGATTATTGTATTCTTTGTAGATCCATCTGTTGAGCAGCTGCATTAGCTTATGGGATAACACAGGCCATTTACTTGTTGCTGCTGGTTCTCTTCATGGCCCTGTTTCCTCTGCCTCCATTTTAGCTTGGGTATATTAAATTATCTGGCCCCTCAG